CGTACCGATGAAGTATCCCGGAAAATTACAATAAGTGCATGAATCTTCCTAGAATATTATATAGGACTAGTAAAACAAGTTTCAGGTCAAAATAATGAGAACTGGTGCCAGAACTGATATTGGCTATGGAAAAGCGCTTACCGGGAAGGTGCTGCGAAAAATAAAATAAAAATATGATAAATTATAGAAAAATGAGTAGGTTCAGAATCCTAAGTTTGGGATTTAAATTCTAAGCGTAGCTATTAGTGCTATTACTGTGTGATTAAACTTAAGTGGGCTATACATAGCCACTTGCACAGTAACCTAGGTCAGATTTTGATGTGCCTATGTAGAGGTTTCTGATGCATTTGGCTGCCACCTCTCCTTCACCCTCCCTTAGCCTTCTTCTCCATAGAAAACCTTCAAGAGATTACCTTTACTCTTGATTTCTTCATAAAGGCTTCATATTTGAGTGTGCTTAAACCTTGAGAGGTTGAAAGGTGCTCCATTTCTGAGTGTAGCTTCTGAGTTTGAGAGGTTGTGGGGGCTGAGTTGGTGGTTCTCTTGGAGGAAGCCACCTACTTGTCTTTGGAGGCTTCAAGGAGCCATTTTGATGGTGAAAGGTCCTAGCTTGTAGTGCATTTCGTATTTGGGAAGTGGCAGAACTTTGGTGCTGTGTTGAGGACCCTTATGGTGTCTTATTTTCGGATTTTTGGAGCTTAGAGGTATACCATGATCACCTCTTTGTATTTTGATGATTTTAAGCTTGTTTAATCGGTTAAAAAGTAAAACTTTGATCAATTGAATGAAGGAATGTGTTTCTGAGTCCTAAGCATGTTAATAAACATCTGTTTAAGGAGTTCTTGGACTCCAGATCGAGTTTGGATCATTGGAGGCCAACTATACCTTTAAAACTCAGTTTTCTACATTTTGTCGAAGAAGTATTCAAATACTTTTCGGGCAGTATTCGAATACTTCCTGGAAAAATGCACTAATCGAATACTTTGCGAGACAACAGTGACTTAGTTTAGTAAAATTGCGATATCTCGAGCTACAGAGCTCTAAATTGAGTGAAGTTTGGACCTATGTGAATCTAACATATAGGAATACAACCATGTTAATTTTTAGATACATTGGATAACTGGATTACTCTCAGTTTATCTTTGAAGTCGCGAACCTTTTGCTGGAAATTCAGTTTGTTGTAGGAACTTTGCAAAAATCATAACCAGAGTTATACAACTCCGATTGAGACATAAAATATTTCGTCGGAAATCTTGAGATGTCTAGTTTAACATATTAAAATCTTAGAGTATTTGGTAAAGAGTTGCAACTGTATTTTTAAACTGGTAGACGAATACTCCTTGTAGGAGTATTGGAATACTTTTCTGGAAAGAAAAGTATTCGGATACCTTTGAAGAAGTATTCAATACTGGAAAGTATTCGAATACAGTAAAGTTTGGGATTTGGATACTGTGGTATTCGGATACTGGGGGGGAGAAGTATTCGGATACTTGGTAGTATTCGAATACTTAAATGAAAGTAATCGAATACTTTCTGGAGAGCTGGAGTATTCGAATACTACTCGTGGAGTATTCGAATACCTCCTGCAGAAACAACATGAAATAAGTTAAAATGAGTATGAAAACCTTAATCACTTAGTGTAATCTTGAGTAATGATTATTGACGATTAAGTATTGTATTAATAGGTTGTGATTGTGCTGTTTGTGGGCCTTGAGCTTGTGTGGACTCTTGGTTTGGATAGCTAGCTTGCAAGGTAAGCTTTCGTGTCCTCGGTTTAGCCATTGTTGGTTCCACCATACCCCATGGGGGAATGGTTTATATGCATGATGTGTTTTCATGCTTTGATGATTGGAATGCTTTTGAACTGTTATGTGTAAGGGCCTTATAATATGCATGTGTTGTTCCACTTTGACGGTAAGCCTGAGTATGTAGCGTCATACAAGATGGTGAGACTAGGGTGGATGCAAGTAGCGTCTTGCACTATTTGTAGGAGATATATGTATATCCTGCATTTCTCTGGCCAATAGATTATATTGACACGCATGACATGGTTATCTGTGCATTACACTGACTTTGGAACTTATATATATTGTGTAAACTGCTCTAGAACTTATATTGCACATGTAAGTGAGCTTGGGGTGGAAGATCCTTAAGGACCCCTTGTCTTACTGAGATTTCTTTTTAGAGATCTCACCCCACGTTTGGGGCACCATTTCAAGTTCAAGTAATGCAAGGGTTGAGACCTCAAGCGGCAGGAGACCGGAGCTTAGTTGAATTAGATGTTGTTATGCTGATTATATTGGATGCTGGATTATATCTGCTGCTATTTTGTTGATTAGCTATGATTATGTTGTTGCTGTTGAGACTTTGTTGGTTTTGTTGCCTTATTGGTGAGCATGGGGATTGTCCATGCCGCATTGATTTGACTATGTCTTGTTTTAGATTCGAGTTGTAATAATGTATCAGGATTATGTCTGGATTACGTGTTGTAGTTCCGTGATTTTAGATACTCATTATTATTAATATATTGAGGTATTTCAGTTAGATGTCTTCTGCAATTTACATACAGGCGATGTTTTTATAAAAATGATTAAGTAATCAACTTGGCTAAGTATAATGACGTCATAATTGAATGTCGAAAAAGATATTTCGCATTTTAATTAAGCATGGCTTAATACGATGATATGTTAACAAACCGGATATATACGGGGTGTTACATTTTATGGTATCAGAGCACTTTCTAGGGAAAAGCCTGTTTGTATTGCAATAACTTAGGATGTTGGGTAGTGTGTCTGTCTCGTGTGTTCTCTCTGTTAGGTTTTATTATGATGATGCATATGTGATCACATCGCGTGGGCCTGATCAACTCATCATTTGTGTAACTTGTGTATAGTCATAGTAATGCCTGGGAGGAACCGTGAGACCACTGAGGGTCAACCCGACCTGGTCCTGACTGCATTGGCTGAGATGCAGGCGGCTAGACTAGCTGATCAGGAGGCCGCTAGATTGGCCAATCTGGCGATGATGGACGTGATGAATCAAAGTGATGATGTGGATACAACGTATACTTGATGATTCCACGACAACATGGTTTTGATGATAACAAAGAGGAATGATTCAAAGACGAAGCAATATCCAAAAAGAAAATGTGAAAGTATGCACCAAGTCTTAAGCATCAATCCAAGTCCAGAATCTCAAATGGTATATTCATTTAGGACTTAGGATAGATATGTAAAGATGTATATATATAAAGCATTGCATGAGCTCAAGGTCATTCATCAATCATATATTTCAAAAGCATGCATCCTTAAAAAGAAAGACAAGACAAATGGTTTCATATGTACAAATTTGGTTTGGAAGAAGTACCTATGTGATACAAACTTTTCTAGATAATTTCCATAACCAATAGCATGCATTACACGTCATAAAAACCATTTGGAAAGAGTAGAAACTCAGAACTCGTACAAAAAGGCTGCTGCTATGAAATATCCAGATATTCCACTTTGAATATCCGGATATCAGATATCCGGATATGGAACAAAGAATATCTAGATATACAATATCCGGATATGTGCCCGACAAATATCCGGATATGTACGAATTACAACGGCTATAAACGGCTAGAAACGGCTAGTTTTCATAGGAGGTGTCATTATAAATACCCACATAAGTTGGGATGAACAGTACACGACCCTATAGCATTTATTGAAGCTTTATTACTCTTACTAGCCTTTTATTGCTCATAAATTACTTACTTTAATCATTGCATACACTTGAGCTCATCTTTCCTTTGAAGTTATACATCTCTTAGTTCTTCAATTTGTTCAATCTGTACTTTGAGAGTACTTAGCCACTTCTAATCACCTCAATCCTACTTCTTGATTTGAGAGGAGAGTGAACCCTATATTTGAGAGGTTACCAAATTCCTAAGAAAATTTGGAGTGAAAAAGTGTAAGGCATCAAGAGCCCGAAGTCTTGAAAAGTTGTAGTGGTTTGTCAAGCACCCTCAAGCTTGATAGTTAGTGAAAAGAATTGATCGAGCGGCTTCAGTCTGGACATAGGTCACGGTGGTAGTGACCGAACCAGGATACATCTAGTTTGCAATTTCTCTAACCTTAATCTCTTTATTTAAGTATTAAAATTGCATCTTAGATTGTCTTTATATATTCGCTTGCTTACTTTGTTGATCATTACACTTGCTTTTACAATTAGACATTTCCTTATTAAATCACTTTATTGAAGAAATAGTCTTTAAAACATCAAAGGAGGTACTTTGCGAAAAGATTTTGTAAAACTCAATTCACCCCTCTCTTGAGTATTGAAGCCACATGTCCAACAAGTGGTATCAGAGCTTGAACTCTTGTGTAAAAAGCTTAACCGCTTCAGGAGAAGGGATGACTTCTTTGAACCATGATATGCCCCTTGAAGGATCATCTAGTACTAGACCTCCATTTTTTAATGGTGTCGATTATTCTTATTGGAAGAGTCGGATGAAAATATTTCTTCAATCTAATGATTTAAGAGTATGGAGTGTAGTTGAAAAAGGATACACACCACCTACTATAAAAAATAAGAAGGATGAAGATATTCCTAAAGATATAGAAAATTACACTGAAGATGAAATTAGGAAAGGAAATTGGAATGCTAGAGCTCAAAACTTGATCACAAATGCCTTAGGTCGTGATGAATACTTTCGTGTTTCAAATTGTAAGAATGCTAAGGAAATGTGGGATATTCTTCAAATAACCCATGAAGGAACGAGTGATGTTAAATTTACAAAATTAAATGCACTCACTAGAGAATTTGAAATGTTTGAAATTCATGAGAATGAAAGTATTCAAAGTATGCAAAAGAGATTCACACATCTTGTCACTCATCTAAATGCTTTAGATAAATCTTTTACTAACCTTGAGTTAATTGCTAAGGTGATGAGAAGTGTGCACAATAGGGAATGGCAACCCAAGCTGACGGTTATTACGGAATCAAAAGATTTGAAAACCATGGATCTTGCAACCTTGTTCGGCAAGCTCCAAGAGTATGAAATGGAGCTAACTAGAATAACCTTGAAGGAACAAGCCATCAAGAAAAGCAAGGGACTTGCCTTGAAAGCCTCAACACCAAGCAAAGAGAAGGATGAGGAAAAAGAAGATGGAGATTCCGAAAATGGTCTTGACGAAGATGAGATGAGTCTCTTAGTAAAGAAGTATGGAAAATTCTTTAAGAAGAATTTTTCAAAGAAATCCGCATTTCCTCCTAGAAGAAGATCTAAAGATGAAGGATCCTCACAACTTACCATCACTTGCTTTGAATGTGGAAAAATCGGTCACTACAAATCGGATTGTCCAAATATTCAAAAGAAAGACAAATATGAAAAGAAGCAAGGCAAAGATAGAAGGAACTTCAAGAAGGCTTATCTTGCTTGGGATGATGAATCTAGTTCTTCCGATGATGATTCCAAGGAAGAAGAAAATCTATGCTTCATTGAAGATGGAAGACCATCGGAGAAATCAAGCAAAGGAACTCAACATATATGTCTAATGGCAAATGAGGACAAAAATGAATCTGAAACCGAGGTAAACTCATCTTGCTCTACTCTTTCCCCTTCATATGATGAGTTGTCTGACATGTTTGAAGAAATGCATAATGAAACACTAATACATGTTAAAGCTCTTAGAGCATCAAGAAAAACTATTAATTCTTTGGAAAAACAAATTGCATCTTTAGAAAAGGAAGTAAAAGAGTTGAAGGATGAAAATGAAACTCTCAAATTACTTGATGCTAGCATTGATTGTATTAAATGCCTATCTTCAAATGATCATGCATTTTCATCATCATGTACTTCATGAAAAGATCTAAACAATGAAATTGATGATTTAAATGAAATTCTAAGCAAATTCACATGTAGAAGAGACAACTTAAATGTGTTGCTTGGTAAACAAATATGCATGTTCAACAAATCCGGTTTAGGCTTTGACACTAACACACAAGAAAAATCATACAAAAACTTTTTCATTTCACCATTCTACATGACAAGTAGCCCATTCATTAAATGTTTTCATTGTGGTGGAAAAGGTCATAGTGCATCCACTTGTAAAGTTAGAAAGAATGGTATTGTTGGGCAAAAGAAAGTGTGGGTTCCTAAGGGAACTAAGCCCAAAACTAACACACAAGGACCCAACATGGTGTGGGTACCTAAGATTAAATCTTGACTTTGTGATGTAGGTTTGTTTGAAGGCTAAAAGCTCCAAGTGGTACTTGGATAATGGTTGCTCAAGTCACATGACGGGAGATGTAACTAAGTTACAATCATTCACCAAGAAAGAGCATGGACACGTTTCCTATGGAGATAACAACAAAGGAAAGATCCTCGGTATTGGAAAAGTTGGTAACTCCTCCTCCGTTTCTATAGAAAATGTTTTGCTTGTTGAGGGCCTTAGACATAACTTGCTTAGCATTAGTCAATTATGTGATAAAAATTATAAAATTATTTTTGACTCGACCTCTTGTAAAATTGAAAGTCTAATTGATGGGCAAGTTAAGTTTCTTGGTCATAGAGTGGACAACATTTATATGATAGACTTAGATGGTATGCCTTCAAATGACGATAAATGTTTGATTAGTAAGGAAGATGACTCTTGGTTATGGCATAGAAGAATAGCACACATTGGCACGGGTCAATTGAGCAAATTGATATCCTTAGACTTAGTGATTGGCTTACCAAAGCTCAAATTTGAAAAAGATAAAGTTTGTGACGCTTGTCAAATGGGAAAACAAGTAAAGGCTTCTTTTAAATCAAAAAATATTGTTTCTACCACAAAGCCTTTACAACTTTTACATATGGATCTTTTTGGACCAACTAGAACCATGAGCTTTGGTGGCAATTACTATGCCTTGGTCATTGTGGATGATTATTCTCGCTATACTTGGACTTTATTTTTTACATATAAAAGCGATGCTTTTAAATCATTCAAGAGACTAGCCAAGCTTATTCAAAATGAACAATCTTCAAACATCGTTTCAATTAGAACCGATCATGGTGGAGAATTTGAAAATCAAGAATTTGAAATGTTTTGTGAAGAAAATGGTATTGAACATAACTTTTCCGCTCCTAGGACTCCACAACAAAATAGAGTTGTAGAAAGGAAAAATCGTGTATTAGAAGAACTTGCTAGAACGATGTTAAATGAAAATAATCTTCCAAAATATTTTTGGGCGGAAGCCGTTGGCACCGCATGTTATGTTATGAACCGTGCTTTAATTAGACATATCTTGAAGAAAACTCCCTATGAACTTTACAGAGGAAGAAAACCCAATATTTCATATTTTCATGTCTTTGGTTGCAAATGTTTTGTTTTAAATAATGGAAAAGAAAACCTTGGCAAATTTGACTCTAAAGCCGATGAAGGCATATTTCTAGGATATTCACTTACAAGTAGAGCTTATAGGATCTATAACAAAAGAACAATGGTCATTGAAGAGTCTATTCATGTTGTATTTAATGAGACTAACCATTCCTTGCCTAGAAAGGAACTTTGTGATGATGATGTTATAGAAAGCATGGAAAACATAAACTTGAATGACAAAGAGGAAAATGAAAGGGAAAAAGAAAAGGAAGCAAACAATGAAGAAACTCCAAGTCAACAAACCAATGATGGAAACAATCTACCACAAGATTGGAGAGTAGCTAGAGGACACCCCATTGTTGCGGTAATTGGTGATATATCCAAATGGATAACTACTAGAAACTCAATTAGAAATATTTGTAATCACTTAGCATTTGTGTCTCAAATTGAACCTAAGACCATAAATGAAGCAATTATTGATGAACATTGGTTCTTGACAATGCAAGAAGAACTAAATCAATTTGAAACAAATCAAGTTTGGGAACTTGTGCCAAAACCAAATGATTATCCAATAATTGGAACCAAATGGGTCTTTAGGAACAAGCTTGATGAAAATGGGATAATAACTAGAAACAAAGCTAGACTTGTTGCTAAAGGATATAATCAAGAGGAAGGTATTGATTATGATGAAACCTATGCTCCCGTTGCTAGATTAGAAGCTATTAGATTACTACTTGCATTTGCATGTATAATGGATTTTAAACTCTTTCAAATGGATGTCAAAAGTGCCTTTTTAAATGGTTATATTCAAGAAGAAGTATATGTTGATCAACCTCCCGATTTTGAAGATCATGATTTACCTAACCATGTCTTTAAACTTAAAAAAGCCTTATATGGTTTAGAGCAAGCTCCAAGAGCATGGTATTAAAGATTAAGCAAATTTCTTTTAGAAAAAGGTTTTTCAAGAGGAAAAGTGGACACAACTCTTTTTATAAAGAAGAAAGATGATCATCTATTATTTGCACAAATTTATGTTGATGATATTATCTTTGGTGCCACTAACGTTAATCTTTGTGAAGAGTTTGCTAATCTCATGCAAAGCGAATTTGAAATGTCTATGATGGGAGAGCTAAATTTCTTTCTTGGTCTCCAAATAAAGCAACACAAGGATGGGATATTCATTAATCAAGCTAAATATTGCAAGGAGTTACTCAAAAAATTTGGAATGGACAACTCCAAGGCTATTGATACTCCCATGGGTACATCTTGTTCTTTAGACAAGGACGTAGGAGGTAAATCCATAGAAATTACTAAATATCGAGGTATGATCGGATCACTCCTATATTTAACCGCAAGTAGGTCTGATATTATGTTTTGTGTGTGCATGTGTGCTAGATTTCAAGCTAATCCTAAGGAATCACACTTAAGTGCCGTAAAACGAATCATGAGATATCTTGTAGGCACTTCACACATGGGATTATGGTACCCTAAAGGTGCATCATGTGAACTAATAGGTTATTCTGATTCTGATTTTGCGGGTTGCAAATTGGATAGGAAAAGCACTAGTGGCACTTGCCACTTTCTTGGTTGCTCCCTAGTCTCTTGGCATAGCAAGAAACAAAATAGTGTGGCATTGTCCACGGCCGAAGCGGAAGATGTGGCGGCCGGTAGTTGTTGTGCACAAATCATATGGATGAAACAACAACTAAAGGACTTTGGGGTTGATCTTGATCACATCCCCATTAGGTATGATAACACTAGTGCCATCAATATCACCAAAAATCCCATTATGCACTCACGGACTAAACATATTGATATTAGGCATCATTTTATTCGAGATCATGTGCAAAACGGTGATTACATTTTAGAATTTGTAGAATCTTCAAAACAATTGGCCGACATTTTTACCAAACCTCTCCCAAAAGAAGTGTTTTACGATTTGCGAAGAGAAATTGGTTTGATTGATCCATCATACTTGTAATCATGCATAAATAAGCTTCTTAACGTGCAAACCATTCCTTATCCCTGTTATATATGCCTCTTAACCTTTTTATTCTGGAGTATATGCCATATGACATGTTTGATTGAATTCAGTGTGCCTTTTCTGGTCTTTTTCGTATCTGTCTGGAAATATCCGGATATTCATAATTGAATATGTGAATATGTATATCCCGATATGATATCCGGATACGTATATCCGGATACCATATCCTCATATCCATATCCGGATATGATATCCGGATACTGGATATCCGGATATTGTGTTTCATATATCCGGATATTTGTCGCGCTGGA